AATTAAACCAATCAGAAACAACCATATGTGTATAATATGCAGATGACATTTGAAAGAAAGATGAGTTTGACGTGTATAAATACTATTCCAGCCTTGACCACGAGGTTGTTCACAACTGTGTTATTTCGTTTTCTTTTTCGAAAAAGTGCGATTAATATTTGCAAGCAAGTCTATATTAGCTTATAAAATGGCAGAATAATACCAACAATACAAATATGTATAGTAAACAGGTGGCGGTTCCACACCACCTTTTCCAAATTTGGTTACATCAATTTGAGATTCTGTTTGGCATTTTAAGATTTAATTGTATAATTTGTAGCGGCGCGGATATTTAGTATAAGCAGTACTGTTAGCGCCATAGATTAATTTTGATTCAACCATCGGTGTTAATGTAGATAACAGATTTGAATCAAATCATCACCCACTTTTATTCTAAACAAAAGTTTACATTGTGATACAAAGAAGTACAATATTATATGTGATTCGTGTCAGATGACAACGTTTGAGGTAAAAGCGGTTGTACGTGATATCATTATTAATTTTAAAACTAAGTTAAATACCGGTAAAATTAATGATGAATATATGATATTGTTTATGACGTCATACCTATAAAATATACACAGAAACCAGTAACGATATGATGTGTACTGGTAAGACCGGTGCGACATAAATATTCATCAAAATACTGTAACGATGATGACATAGTATTACTACGTAAACTAATCCACACTACTAAAACATTATGGATGGTCATTTGTTTTATTAGTGGTAACGAATTTGCCAGAAGGACACTGTCACCAGGAAAGTCTGAAGACTAAAATTAAGATTTCATATAATATTCAGCATCTATTAGACTTGAAATACGACAATGGTAAGTATGGTTACATTGAATCCATTCTTACAAATTACTTTATCTCTTACGTTTAAATGTACTAATTATGTGAAATGTGTTGTTAATGTAGTTCTGGGCGAGGTTTTACGGTAAGAAAGTTGGTGAGCAACAGAATATATATCCGTTGCCAGGAACATCTGATTTACAGTTATTCGAAGTACAGGTAGGACTACATGATTACTTATATTTAGTTGTACACATGGCTATACTGTTTATGTCACTCATCGGTTTAGAGCTTAATGAATTAGGTGATATTTATCTACCTTCAGGAAGGTGTCACACAGTAATGGTAGTTATGCATCTGAATCACTGGATGACATTTTATAGAAGGTGGCACTTTCACCATTAACTTACTTACTAGTGTTTACCACTTTTGGCCCTATGACCCATTATTCTGGAAGTTGGGTTATTTTTTTAAACCACACATACAAATGAAATACCATGAAATACCTTTGTATTACACATCAAATATTCCATGTAGTATATATATATAATTGAAATACACCTATAACCATGTGTTTGAATAAAAATGTAAATGCACAATAATAAAAGAGACAGAAAAAAAGTAGTAATAAATCATCCAAAACAAAGAGGAACAATTTAGTTATAAAATGTTCTGTATAGACGGACCCCCCCCCCCTCCGATTTGTTGAAGTATATTATTACTACTGGATTTTTGTATTAGATATCGCATATGTGGCACTTGAAAACTATTGCAAATATCGGAATACAATAGGTATTCGAACAATAGATATATTTGAATTGTTTAGGTAGGCCAATTTGAAATATGCACTGCGCATATGCGCAACACAGCAATATGTAAACTGATCAATCAGTAGTTTTAAGTTTAAAGTCAAAGTGATAACAGAATCACTTGAGCAAAAAATATGCATTACTTTTGATAGGGCAGTGACGAAGCTCTCAAAGTGACAGACACATTTGGTGATGAAGACGGTGATGACGTAGCTCGGGTAAGTACACACTGTACACATAACTCAATGTGGATTTTTGTAGCAATTTAATCATGACATTTTAATAATAAAGTCACGAATGTTAACACAATTACTGCTGTATATCTTTTCATTTATTTAGGAACGACCTGATGTACACAAAGCTGTCTTGAACAATGACAAAGAATTGTTGAAGTCATTGATAAAGTCAGGCACTGACGTTAACATTACTGATGAGGTATGAATTTATTGTCATTGGGTTTTAATGAGCACGTGAATACCCTTACACAAAACATATTTGCAGTGCATGAACAATTATTTTGTGCTTATGCACATAAGCCAAACATGTTTTGAGGACCATGGCTGATTGTATACCACTCAATATTGATATAAATCAGTGTTTGATTATGCTTGGATCCTCCATTAAATTATGCCAGTTAGGCAATTCCATATATTTGTACAATGATGGTTTGATATATTAGCTATTTAGCTATTTTTATGATAATAAATACTATGGGCTCAGTCTGAGATATTTTAGGGGTGTAAGGGAATAGAGCCCATGAACCACAGTGATGATGGGGTAGACATTTTGGTACTATGGATGGTCAATACCAGTTGGGATAATGGTAATCTACAAGGTAACAATAATCTTTTCTCTGGTCTTACCGAGTCTTCAACTATTTCCTTTCCTCGTCTTTTTTAATATATAGTTACCCTCCACCTGGGAAGCTGCTCCATTGTTTGTCACTTTGACATATGCCACACAGGACAATGTTGCTATATTGTCTACCCTAGACTTTATACCAACAGTGAACATAGCATCACCAACTTTATTCAAATCTTTTTCGTCAACCCTCTTCTTTGGTTTCATTGTATTCTTTGTTAATTTGCCGCTGTTTAAAAGGGGGGAAAGGGCCAAGTTGTCCAGATTGATAGTGATTCCGTAACAGCAAGTGATTCATTTCTTCTGGATGCAAATGTTCAGCCCACAGTACATTGTTAATGGATTTGCTTGATTTGATGGTGGTTTAATGTGCTCATTAGCTGCATGTATTTGGTATGTTCAGCAGTGCATTAAAAGATTCATTTTGGCTCGATTATCATGAATGTCCTTGAAGACCATGAATTATTTCCTTTTCAGTCAGTCTCTTCTTAAGAACGTGTACAGGTATATTACCTGGTTAATGCAACATATATTTGCTTCTGGTGTGCTTCATATCTTAGTCTGCCAAGATATGTATTTCACATAAAGCTAGAACACGTAAATAAACTCACGAAAATGTAGCCAAATTAAATACAATGCACGAAGAATATCAAATGAACTGTATGGTGTGCTAAAAAAATCATTTTACAAATTTCAATTGACACAACTATCAAACACTATTACAGTGAAAATATACAAAGATTGGGTGATATATCAATGTCTGTTTAGCGTCTCAATAATGTTAGATTTCACAAAGTCACGAAGTATATTTACCCCTCGATTGTAGTTAATACAATATTCTCCCATCATTCCATATTCTATCATATTTATTATGTATACTGTAACCAATTTTTATTTTATAGAAAGGCATCTCAGCTCTTCACTTAGCAAGTCTAAATGGGAATGTCGATATGGTCAATATTTTACTAAAGTCCGGTGTGAACAAGCATGCGCAAACAAAGGTAGATGTTATTATATATGAAAATATTCAATACAAATAACAAATAACGTTTTACATTGTGTGTACAATGATAATATGTGTTTTATATTTCATAGAATGGTGCGACAGCTTTTCATTTAGCAAGTCAAAATGGCCATGTGGGTGTGGTCAGAATTTTACTGGATGCAGGGGTAGACAAACAGATTCGAACGAAGGTACTACACAATAAATCATATTTATTCCTGAATGTATTGAACACAACAAAATCAGCATTTCATTGTGTGCTACTGCAATCATTTTTTTAATTTCTAGGATGGTGCTACGGCTCTTCATTTAGCAAGTCTGGATGGACATGTAGATGTATTCAGAACTTTACTGGATGCAGGTGTAGACAGCAGTGCACAAACGATGGTATTATATTTTTGTAAATTCTTGATTATACTGAACACAATGACATGAACATTACGTGGTTTTTACTATTGTAAATATTTTATATTTCATAGAAAAGTTCCACAGCTTTTCATCTAGCAAGTCAGAATGGGCATGTGGAGGTGGTCAGAATTTTACTGGATGCAGGTGTAGACAAGAATAAACAAAAGAAGGTACTCCTTGATTCTATCATATTTATTTCTGTATTGAATATAATGAGATGAAGCATACGTTGTGTTTACTACTGTAATAATGTTAAATTCCATAGAAAGGCACCACAGCTATTCATTTAGCAAGTCAGAATGGACATGTTGATGTGATCCGAATTTTACTGGATGCAGGTGTGGACAAGAATGCCCAAACAAAGGTACTACATATCTTATTATATTTATACACGGCCAATTGACTGACAGCAAGATTAGCTAACTATTTACTGTGATTTCTTGCAATATTGCAAGAGACAAGAAATTGTTTTACCGACTGTAATTTCCTGCTAACTTGAAAGTTTCAAGTGTGTTGTTGAGAGAGCGGAGTTATTTTAAACAGTTAAGTCATGAAGCCGGTGCAGTCCTGGCTCTTAAGTATTAAACAAATTTGAGAATGAGTTGTTTCTGGGGAAATCATATTGGCCAGCCAGTGTATAAGTAGCTGATACCACGGGACATCAGGGAGTTGTTCCAGGTTATGCCCTGACATCACTTTTCTGTCACGCAGTGTTTCCTACATTTATACCTGTGTGTATTAAATACAATAAAATGAGCATTTCGTCGTGTCTACTACTGCAATGGTTTTATATTTATAGAAAGGAACCACAGCTCTTCATTTAGCAAGTCAAAATGAACACATTAATGTGGTCAGAATTTTACTGGATGCAGGTATAGACAGAAATGCACAAACAAAGGTAATACAGATGCTATCATACTATCATTTCTGATTTATTAAATACAATAAAAAATGAACATTACATTGCGTTCACTACTGTTATCATTTTACTTTCCACAGAAAGGAGCCACAGCTCTTCATTTAGCAAGCCAAAATGGTCATGTTGACGCTGTCAAAATTTTACTGGATGCAGGTGTAGACAAGAATAGACAAACAAAGGTACTACATATATTATATATTTCTTATCATATTTTACTGTCGTGTGTAATACTTTAATATGTTTTTTTATTTCATAGAAATGCATCACAGCTCTTCATTTAGCAAGTCAGTATGGACATGTTAATGTCGCCAGAATTTTATTGGATGCAGATGTAAACAAAGAAGTACAAACAAAGGTATCATACTATCAAAATGGACATTACATCGTATGTAATACTGTATTAATAAATTTATACTCCAGAATAATACTGGTTGCTGATATGAATTGAATGTACATATTCATGTAGAAATGAATGTGCTAGATATTCTTATTGTACTTAATATAGTGTGATAATATGTATTACTGTATTCATTTGTTATATTATAGGATGGCGAAACAGCTCTTCATTTAGCAAGTCAGAATGGGCATGTTGATGTGGTCAAAATTTTACTGGATTCAGATGTAGATAAAAGGATGTGCAAAAGAAGGTACTACAGATTATTTCATATTTATTTCGCTGCTTGAAGAATACCACCAAAATATTAGTATACATTATAGTATGATGTGTAATTATCATTTCAATGTGTGATGTAACTACTTAAAATCTATCGTAGGGCGAATGGGCAGCTCTTCATTTAGCAAGTCAGACTGGACATGTTGATGTGGTCAGAATTTTACTGGAAGCAGGTGTAGACAAGAATATACAAACAAAGGTACCACATATTACATCATCCATTTCTCAATATATTATGAAAAAGACATTCTATCGCGTGTAACACTGTAATAATTTTATATTTCACAGAAGGGCATTACAGCTCTTCATTTAGCAAGTCAGAATGGACATGTTTATGTGGTCAGAATTTTACTGGATACAGATGTGGACAAGGAAGCACAAACGAAAGTAATACAGTTTTTATCATATTTATTCCTGATTGTATTGAATAAAACAAAATGTACATTACGTGATTTGTAATACTGTAATACTTTTATATTTCATAGAAAGGCAACACAGCACTCCATTTAGCAAGTCAGAATGGACATGTTGATGTAGTTAAACTGTTACTGAATGCAGGTGTGGACACGCATGCGAAAACGAAGGTAATACAGATTACATCACTCATTTCTCAATATATTATGAAATTGATATTCTATTGTGTGTAACACTAATAATTTTATGTTTAACAGAAGGGAACGACAGCACTTCATTTTGCAAGTCGAAATGGACATGTTGATGTGGTCCGAATTTTACTGGATGCAGGTTTGGACAAGGAAGCACAAACAAAGGTACTACAGATTCTGACATATTCATAACGTGAATATAACGTTATGAGATACAGGTTTAGAAAAGATGCTATATTTTTCCTCAACTAGAATGCCAATGAATTTACATTATAATACGAAATGTGTTTTTCTTTTTAATGAACCTCTTTTTAATATAATGTAGGACAAATCAACAGCTATTCATTTAGCAAGTATGAATGGACATGGTAATGTAGTCAGAATTTTACTAAATGCCTGTGTAAATAAGAATGCACGAGAGGAGGTAAAGCAGATTATAATTTATTCATTCACATGCTTATCAAATACAAATCGAATAATTATAAAATTCACATTGTGTCTATCTGTTAACTGTGTGCTATAACTGTTTTCAATGTATTGTAGGACAAATGGACAGCTCTTCATTTAGCAAGTCAGGAAGGACATAATGAAGTGGTCAGAAATTTAGTGGATGCAGATATAGATACGAATGCACAAACAAAAGTATGCTGTAATACACAAGGAATTTCACAGTGCATACATGCAGTGCATTTTTGTGGTTTTTGTGTTTTGTGGATGAGAAGAAGTTGCACTCGGGGTGTTAATAAATACGACATTGTTGAAAGAAAAAAATTTAGGCCACTAAGGGAAAATTTAATGTTTACAGTATGTATGTGTATGATAGAGTATATATCATAGTCAGTTGTCTGCTCGCTGATGTTGTTATTGAACAGGTACATCAACGTCAAGGCTATGGTAATTAATATGCAAATATGGGGAATCCAGGAAATACCCTCATTCACGAGCAACATCATCGTGTTGAATGTGTTGTCACAATATTTGTACGTGATTTTATAATAAACCAGACATTGAGATTCTTTATTTTATAGGATGGTGTCACAGCGCTTCATATAGCATGTCAGAATGGACACATTGATGTGGTCCGAATTTTGCTGGAGGCAGAAGTTGACAAGAAAATGAAAACAAAGGTACAGCAGTTTTGATCTTATTTGCTCCGGAATGTATTGAATACAATAACATATACATTACATCATCAACAGTAATGTACATTTTTTGATTTTGTAGGATGGCACCACAGCTCTACATTTAGCAAGTCAGAATGGACATGTTGATGTCGTAAGAATTTTACTGGACGCTGATGTAGACAAAAATGCACAAATGAAGGTACTAGATATTCTATCCTGTTAATTTCTAAGTTTATGTGTATGTATAAATATGTACTTCTCTCCCAAATGTGTGCTATGATTGTTTTCATATACTGTAGGACAAATGGACAGCTCTTCATTTAGCAAGTAAAAATGGACACGATGATGTGGTCAGAACTTTACTCAGTGCAGATGTAATCAAGAATGCACAAGGAGAGGTAGTAAAAAATATTTATGTCTAAGCTTATTGAATGCCAACACAACATATTACAATATTTATTTTGTGTGTTTATCTGTTGAATGTATGTAAGTATTTTAATGCATTACAGAACGAATGGACAGCACTCCATGTAGCAAGTAAGAATGGACATACCAATGTTGTCAGAATTTTACTAGATGCTTGTGTAAACAAGAATGCACAAGAGAAGGTACTAAAGATTCTATCTTACTCACTGATAAGCCCATATATATCAATGGGGAAGACAATATAATGTTCACATTGTATGTTAATGCATTTTAGGACGAATGGACTGCTCTTCATTTAGCAAGTCAGGATGGACACATTGATGTGGTCAGAATTTTAATGGATGCCGATGTAGATAAGAATGCACGAACAAAGGTACTACTGAATACATCATACATTCATGATTGTGTGGAATATCGATGGAATAGACATTATATTGCGTGTACTGCTGTGATCATTTCATATTTTACAGCATGACGTCACAGCTCTTCATTTAGCATGCAAGAATGGACATATTGATGTGGTCAGAAGTTTACTTGATGCAGGCTTGGACAAGAATGCACCAATGAAGGTACTAACATTTCTATCATATTCATTTCTAAAGGTATTGAATAGAATGGAATAACATTTCATCATGTGCATTTCAGTAATCATTTCAAACTGTCAACCTATGCGAGCAGGTGCTTGTCAAAAAGAGTAGCAGTTTCTCCTAGGACAACTGATGTATTCATCTCAATATATGTGTATGATTGAGTTGTGCAGCATATCATTTCTGTAGATTGGCTCTGAGCCAACTCTCACTACAAATATAACACACTGGCACTCCGTACTAACATATCTATCAGTGTCAAAAATGACTGGATCTGACCACCAAATGTTTTGCTTCTGGCTAGCAAACCAAAATGATCACTTCTGACACTAAACGTCAGAAGGCCAATTCATTTATTCTCTGAAAGTAATCTTCCATTCCGATCTTGTGATGTTCAAATTCACTTCAAATCACTATGGCGAACAAAATTGCTTATCTTACGAAATGTTCTGTAAATGAACTTCAGGTACTACATCTGTCTACTTTATTCCAATTCAGTCTTAGATAAATTGGAGTGAGAAACAATGCCCCCGAATTTGGCCACAGAAGCAAAGATGCTATGGGACATGCCAAAACATACACACTGACATTCTCAGTTTTGATAATAAATGTATGGCATCTCATAAGATTTCGGCTTGTGCTTGTGCTCACAGTAGGGTGGCTCTCAAATCCATTACTGGTGATCACAGGGTTATGTCTTGCTTGAATGCTTGTGATAATCTTATGAGTAAACCAATGAAACATATTCTGATGCTGTTGCTAAAATGACTTTTGATCAGTAGTGTACATTACAAGGGCTTAGTCACGATGCTCATATTGCTATATATTGCTGCATACACTGGACATGCATGTTCCTACCAGTGCACGCAGTAGTGCTCAGACCAGGCTCAAACCCAGTTATCTATAGTACAGCCATCTTTCGCATCATTTGTTTGGAATAAATGTTTTTTTCTTCCGCAGCCACTACGCCAATGCTAGTTTTCAAAATACTTACTTATAAGCACAATAAACACTAAAGCAATTCAGTTTTTGGTTCATATCAGAAAAAGATGAATATTATTATAGCTACTGCATTTGGTATTCACAGCTAGAAGACCACACATGGGAAGCGAATAGAACTTGGTTAGTCAAGGGATACTATATGCATTCTGAATTTCTCCCAGTTTGCATGTCCGTGATCACTAAATATTGCCATTTAGTTGTTTCTTCTAGGTAAATAATATACTGTCTCATTGAGTACTGATTATTCGTGTTTATAATTTTAGTCACTGTGAATTGCAATCTATATGTTTCAGAACAAGAAGACTCCACTTGATTTGGCAAAGGAAGCTGGTCACCAGGATATAGCTGATCTTCTTCAGGATGCCTAAAATCTCCAAACGAAAGTATGATGAAAAACGGTAATTTAGAAATGATGTGTTGTGTCAACAGGTTGCCCTTCATATTTTGAATACGTCCCTAAAATGAACGATTATTTACTAATCTATAACCTATAAACTTGTGTTAAGAATAATCTATAAACTTGTGTTAAATGCGACAAGTGAATTTGTGTTTGAACCTTTTATTATTTCATCTAGTGCACACTTTTTTTTACTAATCGAATTTTTATCTTCAGGTTTATTCAACGTTTCCTGCTTTAGAAACTGATGGGGATGTAGATCTCTTTGCTCGGATTTAAATTTTATGAGAGTAAATTATTCATTAGTCGTCCTTCATAGTAATTGTCAAAATTAAATTTGTTTACTGAATTACTGTATTCTCAAACATGATGTTGTGTTATTGGCATGCACTACTGTTTAGTTTGTATTCCATGCATTTATTCAGAATGAAACAATTGGCATGTGTATTTATCAATGACCATATTTTAATTTGTAATTTAAAACATATTACCAGGAATCGGAATTCCTTTCATTTTTTGTATTTTGTAAAGTTAATGTTATAGCTATGTAATTAGTCATTATTCTTTTTGGTCTTTTTGTGTAATTTTCCGACGAAGAATATGCTGGCAACTACCACTCTATCCTCTTATGTTTTATTCTAAGCCATTACTATCTTCATATATGAATTATTTTAATATTATATATTATAATTTGTGATCATACCTTTGGGTTAGAAGTTGTTATTTGAATTATTTTGGTATACTGATCAACATAACTATAATTGGATTGTTTGATACATCGCCCTTATTAGTCAATCCCTCTAGTATTGAATTATTCCTTGACGTCAACATTATTTAGTCATTCAAATTAACAAATTATATTACTGTAGCAATTTATAATTCGTTATATCAATAATTTATTGCTAGTTTGTAATTTGAAATATTTCTGAGATTATTCGATATCTATTTCATGTGATACATGATAAAGGACAACTTGTATAATCAGGAAACCAGTTTCATTGTATTGTTTGTGGTTATGGGCTTGTTTGTCTGTAGTGTGTTTACAGCTGAGAACAAAATAGCGTGTTCCCCTGTGTGCACGATGCGAATGTACGATGGAGACATGTGGAATTCACAATTTACCAATACAGTGTGTTTTACTATGTCACACACAACGTAATATTATCGTAATTGGTATAGTACAGGTGTGATGGTTCAAATACCAAAATGGCAACAGTAACAGAAGACTTCCCTGGCGGCGATGATAAAATATGAACACGGAGCCAACAGATGAGTTTTCAACTGGTACTGGTATTATTATACTCTGCAAACATCAAGTACAATAACGCGGTAAAACTCCACTACTCCAATGACTAGATACTTAAACTCCAATACAATTCAACGAGATCTCCGATCTGATCTCAGTGCTGAACAACTCCCCTATATATATACCCACACTGTCTATAAATAGACCATTACATCATCATACATAATGAGTCTGGAACTTACTACAGATTTCTAGAATGTTCCATTACCTTCTATTGCCTCCTACAGTGTTCTATTACCTATTCAACCAGTTCCTAAAAAATATAGAATATTCCACCCAGACACAGTACAGTTCTAGAACATTCTCGGTGACACGGAAGTAGTAAATAAGTCGTATGTGACATACTATTATATGACTCATATAAGTGACAGTAATTTGTAATACAACCGTCGCTGGAATCTTAGGAATTACTATACAAGGCATCAACCACAGCTGGTATAAACAAAAATGTGGCATATTTGGAGTGCATGCGTTCTGGGCATTTCCTCAGAAACGATCACGCAATTCTATCCACAGATGTAATTCATTCAATGTGTTCTTATGCAGTATATCACATTTTTGTGAAAATGTGAAATATAACCCTGCAGTAGCAAATACAAATGTTCAACATGGAATCCCCATGGTCATTGACCACACGCATATAGAAGTGTTGTTTTGTTCACTTATATGCGATATAAAATGGAACCATTTCCAAAATAATTAATCAAAAAATTAGTTGATATGTTCATTCTGAATCATATTTTCTGGTATTTTGTTTAATTTTCTGCATACTTAAAAGCAAAGCATCGACCGTCTAATTATTTGTCAAAAATGTCAACAATGTCCTTGTTATAATAGAAGGTGATTTCAACTGTACCATTTCAGCTGAACTCAATCGTAATGGCGGCAATACGTCAGGCATACACCCTTCGCTCTAACACTGTGTTAGAGCGTTTGAAACTTACTGATGCCTCACGTCATTATCATGGTGACATCACCAAATGCACATGAGGCATACGTACATCTTTACTGATTTCTAGACTAAGCGCAGTGTTAATTGGGATATCGGCAACAATAAAATAATATGGCTAACACAAGATCATTGTTATTTTGAAAACAATATTAAACAAGACAAAATGCGTCTTGAAAATGTAATCCATCATCAATGAAAAGTGCATTTCCTCACACTTGTCATAAAAAGAACAAGTCATTGTCAATGACACGTCCCCGTTCCGTTCATATTTGAGTGACATATACATTCAAAGCAGATCATGACCGAAATGCACCTGTATATGTACAACACATTGTACCAAATTTGAACAAAATCCGTCCATGCATACCTGAGATCCGGTTCCGGAATTGTGAAAATACGTGATCTTGATGCATTTTCGGCCTTAAAATGGCTATCATTCAGCTATTCTTAAGCGGATCATGAAACAAATGCACATATCTATTTGTGACATGATGTACAATGTACCATGTGTGTGTGAAGTTTGAACTTGATCAATCCAGACATGTCTCGGATACGGATCCAGAACTGAATTCTTTAAAACAAAATGGCCGCCAGTTGGCCATTTCGAACTTGATCCGAAAAAAAAATGACGTGCATCAAGGTCCTATTATGTTTAATGTATGTACCAAATTTCAACAAAATCCGTCCATGCATAACTGAGATCCGGGTCCGGAATGGTGAAAAAATGCGATTTTGATGCATTTTCGGCCTTAAAATGGCCGCTATTCGGCTATCGTTAATCGGATCATGAAAAAAATGCATGTGCATATGTCCCATATAATGTGTGATGTATGAGTGAAGTTTGAACTTAATCGGTCCATGCATGTTCGAGATACAGGTGATCACGGACGCACGGACGCACACAGGGCAAAACATAAGTCCCCGTTTTCGGACTACGTCCGAACGGGGACTAAAAACGTTTGACACAACTTACAATCTCAAGGAGTTTTTGACTGAAAGCAATGTTTCTTACTTTAGAATGGTACAATAGTACACTCACCTTAAGCATCAACCATTGTAGTCACCATTTTCAAGATATCCTTCACATCACTGGAAACTTTTATAAAAACTTGTACACCTCTGTTAACATTGATACAAAATGACAAGACATTTTTCTTGAAGGTTTACCACAAGTGCAAGTGATCGCGATGACCTTGATGATGTCATCACTCGTGAAGAATTCGGCAAAACGATGAATCTCATTGCTGCTGGATGTACACTAGGCATTGATGGAATACCATGTGAATTTAAGCAGAAATTCTGGAATATTATTGATCAGAATCTGTATGATGTCATGTCCTGCTCAGTTCGTGATAACAAACCGCCCAAATAGTGCATTTAGGCGGTTGTCGCATTGCTCCCCAAGTAATTGAACAATGGCGCCCTGCGAGTCTGCTCTGTAGTGACTACAAAATACTAACCTAAACAATGTCATGGCGTCTCCGCTATGTTAACGGCTCAATCATACATTCATGATAATTTAAACTTAATTATTCAAACATCAATTCTTCGTTGGGTATACCTATTCAAATCTTTGAAAGTTTTGGTCATGGTTTTATCAGTTCTGACAGTCACATATATTCCAATGCACAATCATCAATTTGAATAAACAGCGCTCTCACGGCACCAGTATCGCTTTCATGGGGCATACGTCAATGCTCTTCACTGTTATCACTTTACATTACATCTGATTCACTGTCACCACATTAAAAATCAGGAAAGAAAAAGACATCAAAGAATACATCATTCCGGCCAAAGGGTGATCTGCTTACATGTTTAAGTAAAGACACAGAACTTTCAGAAGATGATTCCAGCCACCCTGTTATCATCATTTGTGTAGATGTTGAAATCGGGTACATCTAGAGCTTTTTATAGTGAACACATTCATAGTGAACAAATCCTACCATACCCGGAAAAGCAACTAGAGTGAGTGGGAAGACTTGACCTAATGCAGGATGACTATTTTACCACATGTTTAAAAGCATCTACATGAGCTAGAAGAGGAAGTAGAACGAGAGGGCAGGTATCACCTTATGTTGCTATCCCTGGAAATTGGCCTTGCTTATAACAAGAAAAGCTGTATCAAATCAGCAAGATTCAAACTGAAGGGAAGCAGCTTGTAGCTACTAATAATGAAAATGTAATTACATTTCCGCAACGTGATGATGTGTCTAGTCTATCACCATGTTCACACGAAGTAGCTAACAATGTATGATGATACATGTTGCTGATTCAATTGCAAAAGGTCACCAAGAAGTCATGATTCGTAAAGTAGAAACATATGTTGTTGTACTATCCATTGCTGCTGTACAGGCACTTCATATCTCAAAACTATGGATTGGAACGGGACAGCATTACAGAGTTCTATCTATTCATTCTTATGCAGAAGTTCTTTATCCGATGCAATCAAAATCTCTGCCAATGTTGCATGCATTGACACATCACCATCCTTTGCTGGACGTGGTAAGAAAACGGCATGGATGACTTGGGAGAATTTTCCTGAAGTTACGGACGCAGTCCTTGAGTTAGCAGAAGGAACAGGCGATGTTGCTGATCAGTGTTTGGCAACAATTGAGAGATTTATTATGCTGTTATATGACAGAACCAGGAGTTTTAAGAAGGGTTGTTCATCTCATTGCAAGTGTATAAAAGGAAAACCGCCCTATACTGCAGT